AGAGAGGAAGGAAGGAAGGAAGGAAGGAAGGAAGGAAGGAAGGAAGGAAGGAAGGAAGGAAGGAAGGAAGGAAGGAAGGAAGGATCTCTGCACCAGGAACAAAGAGGGAACTAAAAGTTGAAGCAGTAAGTGTGTAAGTAGACCCTGAAATAATGACTAGGGGCTTGAGTTTTAATAAAGAGACTGGAGATGAGACTTAGATGCACATGAGGTGAGGATTAGGCCTTTGCATAGTTAGTCTCAGTGAAAGTGAGACTAGGACAACGGCACCCAACAGTCTAGGAAGAAAGCTGGTCTCTACCAGGGGCTGATACTCCTGGAGCACTAGCAAAATCCTTTAGAAGGAAAGTTCTGCCATCAAGGCTAGAAGAGATTTCTATTTTTTTAGAAAAAAATGCTTGTTGAAGAAAAAGTTTCAGTTAAAAAATACCAAAGGAAATTATCTACTATAAGTAAGACACAATATAGATCACGATAGTCAGAAATATTTGCATCCCTCAAATATTACAAAGAATAATCTTTAAAAAATACCCTAAATAAGTATATTTAAAATAATTAAAGACAGTTTTAAAAGATATAATAAACCTGTAAAAGACACTTTGAGTAGAAAAAAATAGAACACCAAATAGAACTTCTAGAAACAATAAAGATAATGTTTGAAATTTAAAACACATTGAAAAGAGCATATTAGATACAGCTGGAGAGAACTGGTTAACTGGAAGATAGCAGAGGAAATATTCAAAAGGCATCAAAAAGAGATAAAGAAATGAAAATATGAGGAAGTAAAAAGACAAAAGAATAAAATGAGAAGGTCCTAAGTACGTTTAATAGGCATTCCAGAAGAGATTAGAGAAAATTAGAAAGAGGTAATATTTGGAGAAATAATGGCTAAGAATTTTCCAGAATTGAAGAAACTATTCTCAGATTCAAGAATCACAATGATTCCCAAGTATACCTTTTCTGAAAAGTATTTTGACAACAGATAATAAAATTAAAGATGTGCATCCCTCATGACCCAGCAATCCCTCTTCGAGATATAAACCTATAGAACGTCTCATATATATGGATAAGAAGTCATTTACAAGTGTTCACTAAAGCACTGATTGTAATCCAAAAAAAAAATTGGACACTAAATTGCCTATCTGTCTTGTAACAGACAAACCGTGGATTATTTCTTAGAATACCACAAAGAAGTTAAAATAATAAATCATAGCTACATATGTCAAAAATAATGAGTGAAAAAAAGAAGTTTTAGAAGGTTAAGTACATTATATTTTTTATATAAATTTTAAATATACATAGAATAATAGATGTATACAAATGTAGTAAAAATATAAACATTTGCATGGAAATGCTCACATCAACTTCAGGATAGCAATTACCTTTGGTGGAGAAAAAAGAGGACAGGATCGGGCATGGTTAACATATTTTTTTTATAAAGGAGATATCTGAAGGCAATGTGGCAAAATATTACTACCGATGTAAATTTTGGTGGGACTTCTGATAAACTACCTTTTATATGTTTTTTTTTTAATTTTATTGATAAGGATTTTAAAAATTAAAGCTATGTCCTAAGACAAGTAGAACAAGAGCAAAGGAGAAGAGATTGCACGGGTGTTGATCTTGAACTGATGTCAGAAGCGACCGTCGCAGTCAGCATATGGACCTTATTTAGACAAGTTATTTAATCCCTCAACCTGTTTCTCTCATCTCGGGTTCCTGGAATAAGTTGTCACAGCTAAGCTCTAAATTTACCCCTAAAACTCACTATCAGTCAAGGCAAAAAGGCAAACGCATGGTGGCTTGTGTTCTCATTATTAGATAAAAGAAAATACCAGTTCAACTGGAAATATAGATTATTCTTCTATCACTGAATTTTCCTGAGGATCAGGAGATAATTCTCCATGGATGTCTCTCATTCCTATACAGATTGGTTCTTCTGAGCAAAGGATATTGTTGAATAGCAAACAGCTTTGGAAGCTAGACAAAGTATTTTTCTCTAGAGAGATCTAGAAATGTACCTCCTAAGACATGTCACAAGGCACAAAAGATAAAGCCCTTTCCTTCCTCTCTAGAGAGACATTTGCTTCTCTCTCCCTCGCCCCTTCTCTCCCTCTCTTCTCTTTCTCTCCTTTTCTCTCAGAGGCTTGTGGACATGCCAGCATCCCTATCAAAAGCTTAACCTAGCTTCAGGCTTCCTCTCCTGTGATGCAACTTACCACATACATGCGCAGGTAATATCTAGCTCTCATCATATTGCCTTATGGAAACTGAGGTATAGGGAACTGACACAAGATATTGCTCTGGTTGCTGCTTTTACTGTGAATAATAAACCATCTGTGTCTTTGCCCCAAGGGTCTTGTATCTTGTGTGTCTGTATGTGCATGTGTATGCACATATATTTGTATAACTGGCAGGCTAACTTGTTAGATTGTGAATAGCATAAAACCTCAGATCCTTCACAGTTCTGACTTAGCAAAGAGGAGCAAAATGAAAGGCTCTGAATAATATAATGGAAATGCTTTTAAAACATGATTTCATAATAAATACAGAAATAGTCTTCCAAGGACACTTCTTACATCAAGCCTCTGTAGCCTCTGTAAAAATTTTGGGTCTAACAATGCAAAGAAAGAAACATCAAAGCAAAACATTAGATTCAGAAAAATATTTCAGTGGAAATTTAAGATAATATGGTTCAGCTCTGTTTCTTCTTGATGATCTAAAGGTACAGGAATAAGACTTACAGTGCTTAGAGCATTTAGTGTTTAACAAACGAACATTTTTACTTTCTCTAACATCAAATATTACAAGAGCCTTTTATAAATGCTGTCTCATGAAGTTCAAAGTTGAGCTATCTGATGATTTCTGAAAATCTCAAAATCTTTGTATATAGAGAGATTCCTATGTAATTAATATGTTGTTGATGTTAGCCACCCATCATTCATTGTCTCATCTTCTTGAAACAACTCAGATTTTGGCTTGAGGATTCATCCTTTCTCCATTCTCAGGTCATGTGGTCTGGATGGGGCTCCAACCTCCACTCCAGACTAGGACTAGGTTACTAGGTTACTAGGTTACTAGTCCTAGGCCAATCGATACATCTCATTTCCCATTTCTCTGGTTTAGAGGTAAGCCATTCTCTGAGAGTGAACCTCAGGACTTGGCTGGGAATGCTGGGTCAAGGACTCTCTTTTCTGCTGTAATTGAACCTGGAAGGATGAAGCTCTGGAACAGATGCAAATCATCTTGTGACCATGAGAGAAAAGTCAGTCTAAGAATGGAGTCAACACAAAGAAAGCTGAGCCAGGAGAAGGAGAGAAAGAGAGAAACAAGATCCTGAAGGCATCATTTGCGTACCTATGTCCACCTATGCCCGAAACCTTAGCAATTCTGTATTCTTCAACTACATGAACCAATACACCTCCTTTTTGGCTTAACTCAGTTTCAACCAGGTTTTCTCTCGTTTCAACAAAAGAGTTAAAACTGATTCACTTTGAGGTTTAGATGCCAGACCTGCAAGATTCTGAATTTTTGGAATAAACATTTAGAATGCTTTGAATATTGTCCAGATTGAAAAACCCAGAGTTCTGTGACATAGAGTTTAGGGGAAAAAAATTGGTTCCGAAAAAGTTTTAAGAATTGTTGTCCTTTAACAGAGTCTCAATGAAACAATGTAGAACCTGGACGTTAGTGGATCTATGGAAATGAGTTTCTAGTTAAATATATTCAATGTTATGTGAACCAAAGATAAACTTGGAAAACATAGGTTATGGGGAAAAGGGAACAAAACACAATCATTTTTAAGACTTGTAGGATTTTGGGTTTGACATAAATGGTAATTTGTATGCTTATATTCAGGTTGAAACATTTGAAATTTACAGTTTCATATACTTCAATCAAATAACAAGGTAGAGAAAAGTCCACATTATTTTCTCTTCCAGACTTTTTTAAACCAGAGAATAATATACTATATTGAAAAAAGGCCCAACCATTCATTTCTCTTATCTAATTATTCTTGTTTTGCATTTAGGACAACCAAATGTGCTACATTTTTCATTTTTTTAATTTTGCAATTTCAAAACAGTTTTTATAAAAGGAGTTCATGAGCTAATGCAATATTCACTCACCTGCATGTTATACAGGGGTTGCTTTGGCGCATTAACTTCTCTCAGCAGACGATGAGATATGTCCCTTAATTCTAAAAGTCTACAAACAAGCTGAGGTTGTAGAAGTCTGGCCACTGATTTGGAGGATTTGGATATGCTGTTTAATCCTTGAATTAATGTCCCCCGGTTGATCTTGGCTAGAGCAACAGCCATTCTGATTTTGGATGTTTTTTGCATGGGTTCTTTTTTCTGGAAAATAAGTCTTTGAAAAGTGACTGATGTGTGATTCTCCAGTGAATTATTAAAATCTACTTCAGGCAGAGACCAAGTACCACATAATTGTACATTGTGCATGGTCCTGAGCATATGCTCAGTGTCCAATAATTATATCCCACTTTCCATAACAACTCACTGACCACCTCCCATGTACTTAAATCTTTATATGACTATATGAATTTTTCCTTAAGATAAATACCCAGAACTTACATTACTAGCCTAAACATAAACGTTTTAGTTTTCTCTCTGGGTTTATATTTTTGCACTGATATTTTTAAAAGAGCTCTTTCAAAAATAAACAATTCAATCAATAATTCTTATTTGAAACTTACAAATATCTTCCAAGTTTACTTTAAAATTTTTAAATGATAAAATATAGCATACATACATAATAGACTGTACAATTTAAAGAAAAATAAAACAAACACCCTATATACTAATCAACAAGCTTAGGAAACATTTACTTCTAAAAACTTCAAAACTTCTATGAGCATTCTGATAGGAAAAAAATTGTGGCATTACCAAAACACATATAATGTAGTTCTCTGCTCTACTAGAAAGTGAACCACAGAGAAATTACTTAAGAGGTTAGACCTCATTCTAGGCAACAGACAAGTATAGTTTCCATGATTCATTTAAGTAATGTTATAGGCTTTTCTGGCATTTTAGTATAAGCAACTTTGAGTCTCTGTTTTTTGAGTTAAAATATGTAAGTATAAAACTTCTTTTAAATGGACTTCTCGGTCTACAATGAACATCATATATTTGTTGAAGAGCTAATGTGCTATATATTTTAAATACTTCAACTTTTAACCTGAAGTAATAATTTTATTACTGTTTTTCTCATCAAAGTTCAGTACATCTCATACTGTTTAGCATTTGCCACTGGAGATGAACAAAAGCTGTTGTAGCTTTTCAACAAGGGTGCATTTCTGCAGCATCTGGTGTCCTACTGTGGTTTAATCTGTAACTTTCTGGTGTAAGTCCTATTAGCCCACCAGTGGTCTTAACCCTCCTCATCAATACTAATAATAGAGAATGCAATCTAAGTTGTGGGCTGTTACTATTGCTGCAATTCCAAGTCACTTTAGAACAGAGCAGTCCTTACAGGGCAGTTATATGGTAGGTAGAGCAAACAGAATAACATGAGGTACAATAATAATATCACTTGATATTATTATTTACCTTGGTTGTGAGCATACTGGGGAGAAAAAACACATTGTCTGTAGTATCCAAAGCTTCTGCACATACAGATTCAATTTCTTTTGTAACCTTATGCTTTGCTGCTGTTGGGGCCCAGGGCAGGCCACCCCAAATTATCCCGAAAACAGCATATTGATCATTTTGAATTAAAGTTATTTAAGAAACTACTAGTGCAAGAACGACTCTGATCTCTCTTTCTGTCTCCCTGAAAGCAGGAGATAAATCTCCTATGTGAAAAGTGCTCTCCCTACACCTGGAGTCTAACAAGAGAGACATTATCACCAGAGTTAGGGAATTCAGGGCTGAGAAATGCATATAAATGAATCTTTGTTTTGTCTTGTTTTTACTAATTTACTACCCAAGCCCAAACTTTGCTTAGATTTCTCACTAATAAGCACCCAAATTTAAGTTTCTTTATCCTGTCAATTCTTCACATATTTATTATTTGTCTCAAAGGTATAAAAAGCTGCCTACTTTGATCATTTCTCTGAGTATAATTTACAGCCTTCTGTGTACACGCATTAAAATGGTTATTCTCCTGTTAATCTGGTCTTGTGCCAATTTTATTATTTGTCCAGCCATAAGAACTCAAAAGGAGTAGAGGAAGGAATTTCTCCTCCTCTATACTACACAGACTCTTCCTTTCAACTCCTTCTAAAGGTGGAGCAGCTAGAATAAGTTTGGTTTTACTTCTGGCACAACTTACTGTGCTTTCTCTTATTATAATTTATAATCATAAGGTGAGGGCCATCTTGCCAGGGCAAACAGGAATGAGATATGTAGTTGCACCTTTACTGAAACCTCGTATTCACGGCCATTTAGTGTTTAAAGGCCCTTCATTTTTGCAGCAAAACATTAATGTTCTGCAGTCTCCCTCTCTTTATTTTTTAAGTTTCTTTACAAAATCTTGGTGATCTATACATGTTGGCCCGGATTCACTGACTTTATACATGTATTTCTGTTAATCAATCTTGATTAATTTCCCCATACACTATACTAGATTGATTCATTCAACTTCCCCTTTTATAAAATTGTCTTCCTAAATTTTTATTTCTGTAGATAAAGAAGGCTATTTGTAATTGACAATCTGTTCATCAAAACTCTCCTGTAAGGTTCACATAATTTGTGTTGAGCAAAATACAGCATTTATTATAAACAATATTTTTAAAAATTCAAGTGTGCATTACATTAATGCTTTAGCAGACTTTGTGTTACCTTTCTCATTTTAGTCTCATCATGAATTCATGGCTTTTTGCAACAGATTTAACCTGTTCCTAATTAATATCATTTTTGTTTTCTTTAATGCTCAAATGGTTAAATTTGAAGACTGTTCTTCCCTTCATGGTTTTTTAAATGTGTTTCTTTTTTGGTACTTTCCTAGATACCTCTGAAAGAATTATTACTTCTGACAGTAGAATGTTTCTGACCACCTTTATCTTCTCTGACACAAAACACGGAATTAACTTGTTCCCAAGAAGACCATTAATGCTTTTAAGAAGAATAGTATTATAAAACAAATCTGGGCACTGGGGTACATGTTCTGTGGTCCCTTATGTTTCTGGGAATATGAAGGTGATCACTGAGGACAGCTATTTACATTCTTTTAAATGCAGAATCAGCCATTCTTCTTTTAAAAAAAATAAGTCAAGAATTTATGATGATGAGTCCAGTTAGTTACTTTTTAAAATTAGCTCTAGTAGCAAATTTTTTAAATAAATTATTTTCTCTTTTTTTGAGCTAACAGTTTTTCCTTTTTGTCCATTACCTATGCTATATATTTTCTTACCACACCATGTGTGTAAATTGAAATGTTGACCTCAAATTAACAAATCCTTATTTCTTTTCCCTCATTTTATTTTTTATTCTTGACCTAAGCATCCTCAAATTGGTCGCAAAGTGTGCAAGTTTCAATAATTCTTTTGTCATCACCATCATCTGAGCACACCACCAAATGTCAGAAAAGAAATTCTAACTCCCAATCCCACCAACCCCTCAGAGACACACAAAGGTACTTAAAGACTATTTACCAAAAGAAACTTAGCATCAGTTAATAAGATTGGTTGAAGAATTCTGCTCCAGAATTCTCTATTTGAGCTCCATTCTTTGAATATATATCCTGTTTTCCCTTTTCTTTTTTCTAGAGCCATGCTCATTTCTCTATCATCAGCAGTTTTAATGCTGGTCTAGTTTCTATTACATCAGCTTTTTACAACCCTACACCTACAAAACCAGACTGTCAGCATATCTTATTCAACTCTTTCTCTGAATAGTCCCAGAATTTGACCACTTCTCATTGTCCCAGTACCAACACTCAGTCCATTATATTTATATACCACCATCACCTCTTCTCCCAACTAGTAAATTAGCCTCCTCAATAGTCTCCCTGCTTACATTCTTATCTATTCTTATTCTTTTCCTCAATACATCAGCCGGAAAGTTACAACGAAAACTTATATCAGATCATAGCTTGATTTTCTGCTCAATCACTTCAGTGGCTTCCTGGTACACTCAATGTAAAAGCCAAAGCAAACGCAACAGTCTACCAAGCCCTACAGAGCTTCTCTCTTCTTTACCTCTCTGGCCTCCTCATCTTTCTCTTTCCTTTCTCTCCTCATTATTTGGTGACCTCAGGGACTTTGCACTTGCTATGCCTTTCGATCCCTCGAGGATACCAAGGTTTACTCCCTCGCTTCCTTCAAGCCTTAATTCAAGAGTCACCTCTCAGGTCTTAACCATCAATTGTTCTCTCTATCCCTACCCCTACTTCATATCCCTTCTCTGCTATATTTTTTCTTCTCCTGAAGACCTACCATTAACATAATAGTTTATTTTCCTTGTTTATTGTTTTTCTGCTTGACTAGGATGTAAATTCTATAACAGTGTTTTATATCCATCTGGCTCACTCATTTTTCCCCAGTGCCTAGAATAGTGTCTGGCGCATAGTAGATGCTCTGTAAATGTATGTTAAAATGAATGAATGAAGAGTGTCAGAAAAATGTAACAAGTTAATATGAGGAAATATCAGAGAAATATACCAAATATTAAATTAGAAACTGCCCAGAAAGTTTTCAGTGCACAATGTGCTCTGTAACTTTCACAATGATAGAGCCCCAACAGAAAAACAAAAAACAAAAAACAAAAAACCTCGCCAAAGACAAAAATATAATTGAATTAAAGAACATTCTAGTTACAGTCCTGCTCTCATATTTAGAAACCCCAATAACAATACAAATAATTTCCAGACATCATTGGTGCTTCCCCAGCAGTTTTTGTCCTGCATGTTTAAAAAAAAAAAGAAAAGAAAAGAATTCAGAAAAGTATATTTACAGATGTAAAAATATGAATTTTGCATGGATTCTAATGTTCTGTCTACAATTCCCAATTTTGTAGTACACAGTTAAGTGCAAGGTAATTACAGGATAAAACACATAAGCATTTTTCATAATTAAACCCCACAAAATGGACCCTATTTGCTATGAATGATTTCTCTCATTCAAGCAAAGATCACTTGAATTCAAAATTTTTAATTCTCCAATTGTAGCATGCATTTTTTTGTTTGTTTAAACTTAAAGGTTTACTATTTTAAGTCTTCACAACCTCATATGAAAATCATTTGCAGCGTGCAACTGCAAACCTTTAAAACTTACTTTTTACTAAAGGAATGCTGCGGCCCTTGGGGTCCAGGCTGCTTGGGAGGGAGGGAGTAAAGAGTACAGGATCTCAGAAACCACAACCTCAAGCCACGATTCTACAATTAACATACCCCAGGTCTCAGAAAAAAAATTGTTTTCTTCAAAATCTTTAGCCATGAAGAACTATGTAATAACCATTTTTCTGGGTAGATTCCTCTATAAAAATTCCACCATCCCTTCGTTCATTTTTTTTTTTTTTGCTCCAGACTAGCAAGATGACCTTTTCTTAAATAAATAAATGACTAAAATAATAATTTTTAAAAAAGATTTAAGTATTAATCACAAAATTTAGAGATTTAGAATACAATGCAATTAATAAAGTCCTCTAAGTATTCTTAAAATCATTCTTTCAGTATGCTTGGGAAGTATGGGCAGTCGTGGAAATAATAAAATTTGCGGCATTTACAATCTGACCTTTCAAAAATAATATAGTTAACAATGGAGCATTAGCATTGTTTTCTGGATAATTTTTTTGAAGAGCAAATAACTTCAATGTATTATAATATCCCCTAACTAACTACTCAAGTTTCCTGCCGATCTCAGCAATACGTTCTTCAAAGTAAATGGTGGAAAAAGAACAATATTTAGTGTTTGAAAATGAAGTTCCTTCAACTATGTTTATATTCTTCCCTGAGTGGGGTAAAGTTCTTTTAAGTAAATGACTTCAGTGAGTTGGAAATGGGAACTTAGAATTCTCTTTGGGGATCAGAATATCAGTCTATTTCACCAGAAAACATGCTATGGCTCTAGTAATAATGAGGCTATGCACAGGGTAGGAAGAAATGAAGGGAACTGTAAGGAAAGTTGCAACTGTAAGGAAAGTTTGATTAAACAAAACCCCAGTTTTTCTAATGTTGGCAATGGTGGGAGAATCACAACTGGAAAGGCATCAGGGCTTCTGATGCCTGTCTTTGGCTCCCGAAGATTCATCCTGAAGCTCTCTAAATAATTACTGCCACTACTGTGCCAGCCTTAACCACTTTACATCCTAGACCAAGCATAGTCACCTGCCCATCTCTTTCCTTAATACTCCAGAGCATAGCCAAGAAAAGTCTCCAATGTTTCAAAAAAATTTATATACCAAGACCAGGGGAATGCAAAGAGGGGAAGGAACTTAGACATCAAGTCTAAGATATGGAATGACAAAATCCGGTTTGACTTCTGGAGCTTTCAAGCTTTATCCTATTCTACTTAGAAATACGATGTCATCTGGACATCATCTTACCTCTGTACATCCAGATATCTACATTTCAGTATCACCTCTCCCCAAAGTCTAAATCTAAGACCCATCCCATTTATTAAGATTTATTTGACATTCTGAGAACATAATGTTTTATACTTTTTGGCTTAACTGACTGCTTCCTTTGGACTATTATTCCCTGTTCCTGTCCATTTACATTATCTCTTTCTTCACTATGAAAGCTCCTAATCATCCGCTGAAATTCACTTTAAGCATCCTTCCTCCATTAAGCCTTCTCTGGCCACTCTTGGTAGTGATTCATTCCTCTAAACTGAATATACATCTTATCATATTCCAATGCAACTACTTGTTTACAACTCTGTCTCCCTTAGAGTAAGTTTATTGACTGAAGGAATCCTATCATGTTTATCTCCATATTCCCTCTTCCCAGATCCAGGTAATAAGTATTAACGTATTTGGTAAATGTCCAATGCCTAGTTGTCTAAATAAATGGTTAAAGGTAGTTCTAATACCTCTTCTCTGGAATGAAATATATAGCCTTTCTGGTTATTGTTACTCAGAGTGCTTTTTGGTTACTGTTACTCAGAGTGCTTTTTGTTTATTCCAGGTTTTGGCTATGTTCCTCATATTTGACATTTCCAAAAGTCTGATATCTGGATAAATAGATGGTTGCTGTTACCATGTAACTTTACAATATATTCCATTCTAACTATGGTCAAAATGACTGAAACAACACTCTTCCATTAAGAGCAGTGTTCTTTTGAATAAATTGGGTTACTTGTGTCCCCTAAACAAGATGTTACTTTTTCCTGACCATATATGTCTCTTCACAATTCTCTACCTAACCCCTCTTCTGATCCCAGTATTACTCAGATCCTTGCTGGAACAAATATTTAAACATATATATGTATACTTTGTTAAATTTACATCACTATTTTCTTTCCACATTAAAATGCACACCCATACAATACTTATCTTTCCATTGTTATAATTTAGGTCAGTTAGGTTTTTTTCACTGATTTAATTGCCATAGATTTTAATTAAAGTATAACTAGGTATTTTTCTGATTTTACATTAAGCAAATTTTAACTACATTGCAATTGTGACTATAAGAGAGTTCTAGATTTCTAATCTAATAACTCAGTGACTGTCTTTAAACTTATCTTTCTACTTCACTTTTACATCTTCAATCTCTTCCAATGAGCATGAGTTGAAATTTGTATTTCTGGGGTGAAGTTAATGTTTTCCTAAACTTCAAACACTGATCTCAACATCAAGCATTAAATAATCGGCATGATACAAAAAATATACTTTTTATAATCCTTTTCAAAGGTATAAAATCACATTACCTGATTAGATTGTGATAATCTTAGGATGGTGGGGAATTCATCTTTAAACTCATCTATAAGGTCCATGATTGCTTTCTGGATCCCCTCAACTAAAACAAAAAGAAGTTAAAAAAAAAAGGCTTTAATTAAAAATATCCTCTAACCATCATTCAAAAGAACATGGGTCCATTGCCTAGGTGACTAAGAAAATCAACCAAACCCTAGAGGACTTGATTCCCAGTTTCCTGCACCCACATCCCCTTTATAAGATTGTGTATTACTTCTTCCAGAAAAGTTCTTCAACACCTGCCCGCATATCCACCCAACAGGTTTGATTGGCATGATGAGTTCTTGCTTGGATTCCTAGTGCTTGGCAAGCTTGAAGGCCTAGGCAATGCTTGTCTTTCTCTACCATTAGTGAGGGATGAGGGCAGCCTTCCACTCAGGAGAGCAGGCAAAGATGCTCACTGCCAGAATTCTTTGTTACTGCACAATGGGCCTCTGAGGACTTGCTACAGAATCTTCTGAAATCACTATGGCAGTGAGAAGGCTGTGTTTGGAAGTACAAAGGGAGGATAAAGGGGATTGAAAAATGAACCACACTAAGGAGTTCTACAATATAAATTGAATTTTGTCCCAATTTCTGCAGTGATACCTCAATTAGTGGATCATTTGAGAACAAAGCTCCCTTTGAAAAGAGCTGGCATATGCTTTAAAAGAAATGCTTCACATGTGATGCCAAGTGGGAAAGAACACCAGCAGTTAATTCAGAAAGACTTTTGAATACATAGTTTTTCTTTACCCAAATGAGGATCACTTTGTCAAACCCAGGCAAAATCGTGAAGTCTTCAGTTTGTCTTCTTTACTTTTTTCATCTTTTTCTCTCATACTTTAAATGATCATTATTTTCCCCTTATCAAATCAGGGAAGAACTGCATATCATGCAGACTTAGTTATATTCTAGTGTGAATGAGCTGAGTTGGTTAACTCAAATCCCATTTTAATTTGAAGTCTTTATATTTAATTGTAGCTAGATGGTTTTCTTCAGCAAGCATAAACTGGTCACTAGAGGTCTACTCGTGGGAAGTGTTTGGAAAAAAAATGTTCATCAGACAGCTCCTCTAGCTGTCTGATGCTCTTAGATCTATGTTCCAGTTTCCCAGAAATACAGGAGATAGACAAACAACTTAAATTGGTGCTTCACAAACTGTAGTGAAGAACCAATACTTTTGTAAATTAAAAGTGGATTATCCAAAAAAACAAACAAAAAAAATGAAACGTATATAAAAAAGAAAGGCAATTTTTAAATAACTACAGAATCTAATAAAACTATCTTTTCTTTTTAAAGCTTCTGGTTTTTCTATTAAGGAAGTTTTTCCAGACCCTAAGTTATACATAGAGTCTCCTAAATTTTCTTCTCTTTTCTTTCTTCAAAATTTAATTCATTATTTAAAAATTTTCAATCCATCTATGATTCATTTTTAATAAGCTGTTATTCTCTTCCATCTGAATATCCAATTGTTTTAGTACCACTGATAAAATAAACCATTGTTTTCTCACTGATATGAAATACCACTTTTATTACACACACACAACAAACACATACACAAACACACACAGGGATATATATTGCAAACTATTTCTGAACTTTCTATTCTAGTCCACTGATCTATTTGTCTATTTCTATATACTTACAATAGTAATTTGACTAGAGTTGCTTTATAGTAGGTTTTTTTTTCTGTTAAGGAAAGTCTCTGTCACTCTTCTTCTTCATTACATTCATCATATCACTCCATATTCAGTATCATCAGGAAAAGATCATTTTATCACTTTTTCCATGTCTATACCAATTATTTTATTATCGTATTTCACTGACTGCATTCACTAGGACTTCCAAAACAAAGCTAAGTAATAAAGATTACAGTAGGAACACCTAATTGAAAATGTTCCTTTTTTCAATTAAAATGGCATCAATATTTTACTGCTTATGAAAAATCAACAGCAAATGTTATTCTAAACAATCTTTATCATATTTAGTTTCCTTCTATTCCCATTCTGATTTTGTTTGTTTTTACTGGGGATGATTGCTGAATTTTATCAACTTCCATTTCATAATCTATGAATATAATCACTTTTCCTCTTAATTTGTTGATATAATAAATTATGTATTAACTTTCCTGATATAGGAAACATCATAGCATTCCTGAAAAAGAATATGTACTTGACTGTAGGGTATTATTCCTTTGATATTTTGCTAGGCTTCATTTGCTAAGATTTTATTTACACTTTTTTCAACTAAATTCATAAGTGAGATTGGTTCATGGCTTTCTTTTTTATACTTAACAGATTAGTATTTAATTTATGCACATATAAACTGAGAAGGCTTGCATCTCTCAGAAGTACCTGGAACAATATCAGAATTATTTGGAATTCTTTTTTCTCTATTTTCCTTTCCTTTTTTAAAACAGAGGTATAACTTACATACAGTAAAATTCCTTATCCTCTTTTTTTTTTAATGCTAGCAAGAACTCAGTTGTGGAACTCTTTGATCCTGATATTTTTTAAAAGCTACATTTACCAACTTTTAAATTTCAGATATGTCCATTTGTGTATTAAAAATTTCTTCTTCTCGGACAGTTTTGATAATTTCTGTTTTATTAGGAAATCTTCTTATATAAGTGTTTCAATTATGTTATTACAGAGTTGCATGTAATTGTTTTAATCTTCTGGGTCTATATTATTTCGAATCTTAAATATTTTTCTTACTCCTTTTTCTTTAATGCATGCTCAAGATAAATTTAAATGTGAAATGTCCTTATTTTTAGTCTTTCTTCTTTAATAATAAAAGTACTATGGATCTATCTTTCATTTTTATTCCATAGATTTTTGAAAGACTTCTTTTCAATGCTTCTTTGATTTCCTCTTTGCTCCAAGGGCTATCATAATTATGTTTTATAATTTCCAAGTAATTAAGATTTGATACTCTGTTATTACTTATTTCTAATTGGTTAACTTTTAAATCAGAGAATATGGCCTATAAAAATCTCTATTTTTCTGATTTGAAGGTTTTCTTTGTGGCCAACTACATGATCAAATTTTCATAAATGTCCTAAGTCATATAAAGAAAGCATATGTTTACTCAAAGAATGTAAGAATATAATAAATGTGTTTATTGATTATATTATTCAATTCTTTTATAGCCCACAAATATTTGCCTATTAACACTATTATTGAAAAAGAAATGTTAGACTCTTTCACAGATTGTATTTTCATCAAGTTTTCCTTGCATTTTTCATTGTTTCATATTGTATCAAGTACTACCAAGGATATGGAGCTCAAATTCTCATACACTGGTAATAAGAATATAAGCTGGCCTACCTACTTTGGAAAACAATTAGTATTATCAAGTGCAATTAAAGATATGCATAGCTATGACCACCACTTCCAATCTTAGAAATATCCCCACTTACACCTGGAGACATATACTAGAATGTTCTCTGCTGCACTAATTTTAACATCAAGAAATTGTAAGCAACCCAAACATCCATCAACTATAAAAGAAATAAATAATACATCTATAATGGTTACTATACAGCAATAAAAATGAATTAGAGCTACATGCAACATTGTGAATAAATCTCAGGAATGTAGTAATTTTGAATGAGAAAAAGCAAGATACAGGAAAATAAAGCACTGCAAGATTCCATTAATATATAAAGTTCAAAAACAGTAAAAACAAAGCAATATATTCGGAGTACACATATATGAGGTAAAACTACAGAGAAAAAAGCAAGGGAATGATAAATGTAAAATTCAGGATAGTGGTTGTTATCTCTGAGGGAAGGATAAAGAGATGAGATTGGATGAGAGCACATGAGAATTTTTAAGGTATTGGTAACATACTTTTTCTTAAACTTAATCATGTGTACAGATATCAATGGACTATAATTCTTTATGCCTTATAACAATTTATAAATACATGTATCTTCTCAATATTAATGAAAACAATTAAAATAATCTGATGAACAAATTACTGTAACAACTTTAGTGGAAAATTATCATTAAAGACTATTCCAGTAATAATGGTAAGGAGACTCTTTGATTCATTCAATCTTTATCCAGCACCTACAATGTGTCATCACTGTTCAGCACTGGGGTTGAATAGTGAACAAAACAAACGAAAACTCTTGCTCTATTGGAGCATATATCAGACTCAAACTATTTATTTGCCATTTTCTATGAACCTACAAAAGCCATTTCTTTCATTAATAACTCACTTAGATTTTGAGATGAATATGTCACAACTGCATTTTATACAGTGCTTGAAAACATTAACTACATATGATTTAAAATATTCCTCTGATTGAAAAGATCTTATTTTAGCCTTAAAAAATGTTATGCCATAAATTTATATTTTAAACTAAAATATTTTTTCTTCTTACATCAACTCCGTGGTCATCACCGTCCAATAAGGGTTTTTGAGTAGATACCTATCTCCTGATAGACTCCTCCACCTTGGGAACGGGAAAACTATAATTGAAATATTTTAAGAAAAGCAATATTAAATACATTTAAATACATATTAAGTATATTTAAGTATCCATAATCTGCCTTATGGATTCTTATGGCCTTTGGTTAGAAGTCTTAGGTTTATGTACTTACGGTGTTACTTCTGCAGAACACAACTAAAAATATAGATTTCGTATTTCGGTCCTTTCACTATGGTCATAGAATGTATAACTTAATTGCCTAGATACTTCAGCAGATTTCCCTGGTCAAACCAATAATGTTCGAACATAATGAAAAAGAAAACTGGTTATTTCATGTAATTCTACATAATTATAAAAAAAAAAATTGTTACGTTCACTCACATTGCTAAAAATGAAAACACTAAAGGATGCATTCCACTCTTTCTTTTGATTCCACACTTTCACTGCAAGTCGATGACACCTCTTTAAAGCTGAGCCTAGGCAAGACATAATTCACCATGTGCAAATTTATCTAAACTCATGAGACTACATTTGCTTTCAGCCAGTACCCATCAATCCTCCTAGGTATTTCTAAGTTACTTTGTACAAAAATAATCCTTGCATGTTAAAAATGTAATAAA